ATAAATATATTCTAAGATCCTTTAAATTCCAGTAATTCTTATAAATCCATAACAATGTAGAAATTATTTTTATAATAATTTTTATATTTTTGTTACAGAATGTCTCTGGAAAATTGGAATTTTTTACCATTTACTCTACAAAAAAGAAACTAACTAAACTTTCTCCTATTACACATTATCTCGAACAAACCCATCCTTCGATTAATCCTTTCATTCGAGAAAACTACATTTCCATGCAATCTAAAAATGAATTCAAGACGAACATAACTAAGAATTTCAAGAATAATCAAACCAGCGATTTTTTCGCTAAATTTTTTCATCTAACCTCTAAAACTCGTTGTACGTATCCGTTTCATCATTGTATTTCATTTCCCTCCATTCTTTCATCCCCTACTATTCCTGACTCGTATCTTATTTTCAGTTATCCGGCGAATCTTTTCTTTCGTCCATTGAAATTTTCTTTAGTTTCGGTGAAACTCGATTCCGTCATGTCACGTTCAAACTTATTGATATGATGCGTACAGTGAAATTTCCGCTGGTGGAAATATTGTGCATATATTGTGAAATAACACATTGTTGAGTCCGTGTTGAAGCAAGGATGATAGGGATGTGAGAGTGAAATTTCCATTGATTAAAATTAATCAATTGATTAATTGGATTGAAATGAAAAACATGGTGCACATGGTATCGATTTAATTTTCTCATTCATTTTTTTAATTTTAAAACGCAATGGCAATTTTCGTTTGACCGTTCATTGGTGGAAAATTTAGAGAATATTTGAAATAAAAATATTGATTTTTAGAAATATAAGGTACGGAATATTAAGGAATTTAATTTTTTTTTAAAGTTCCATTTCCTAAAATAAATTTTAAATCTTCGATTTTGTAGAAAATAATATAAAAGAACAAACAAAATTCAATGTTTCGTTATTCCAATGCAATTTAATAGCTCTTCATGAAGAACAACAATATCGCTTTTAAAATCGATATCTGTTATACTTATAATTAGTATATTATTGAATTTGAACAAGTATCAATCTTTTTATAATGAGATGATGAAAAATCGACAAGTATTAATTTCATTCTAACAGTTTCAGGAAAAATCGATTAAATCTAATATCGATAGAAACTAATTCTATTTCGTGCAATGATTTAAATCATCATAACTTTTTATGCAAATTTTTTACAAATAATTTAACAAATAAAAATAATGAAACATTCTATAACTGCAAAAGTATGAGAATGAAATATGGAAATTGTTAGAAAATACATATTTTTTTGTATTCCTTGTTATTTAATAATTAATTCCTTCAAATAAACTAAGATAATTCGTTATTGATCGGTTAATCATTCAACTGAATAAAAAGTTACTATTATTCAAATATAATTCGCCCCTCGTCAGAATAAAAAAATGACAAACTATTTAAAACGATTCATCGTCTCGTGAATCACGTTTCTTATTTTCTTTAAAATAAAAAATGTGTCCAACTTTGGTTCATACACAATATCATCCCCTGAAAGAATGCCGTGCCAAGTCCTCGAAAAATATGAAAGGAAATAGTAAAAATTTACAATGGCGAGTCGAAACGCGAGTTTCCTCGCGAATAAAACGTTTCATCGGTATTTTCAAAACAATCGCTTTTCAATCTACACGCTTTCCAATGGAATCTAATTTTCAACCACTTATCCTTGATTTAAACGCAACCCCTTCAAACAATATTTCCACTATATTACTTTCAAATTTCCTCCACTGTTTCTTCCCGAAAGCAAAATATTTGAAAAATTCCCGTTTCACGATTCTATCGATTATATTCAGATATATGTAGAAGGGAGAGGAGGATGCATCTCATCCTAAGAAAACGTTTTAAGGAGATCTGATCTGATCTTGCATACCCACGCACGATTATTATCCTTCTATCTAATTCGTCCCAGAAGTTACGAAGTATCGAATTCAATATTCGATAAAGTAATTTAAATTCGAATATTTTATTTTTTATTCTATCTCGAATAATATTATTTGAATAATACGATGTATTTTTGTTCCTGGAATTTTTATCCCTCTCGATCTTGATCTTTCGTTTAATTTCATTGTTTTTTTTATTATTATTATTATTTTTTTTTTTTTTATTCAGATCTCTCCAATTCCCAATCCCCTATGTATGAACAAAACACACATTTTCATCTTCGCTTAACGAGACATTAACGAAGTCAGCACAGTGGCAGCATTTTTCCATTTCCGTTCCTCAAAGTTACGCGTCCCATAAACGATTCGGTCTGAATGAAAAAAAAAAAAAAAAAGGTTCCAATCTCCCTAATTTGAAAATAGTGCATTAGCGCTGATAACGTGGGAACGATCCATATTCGGATATCCCCTTTTATACATATCATTTCGCCAAATATTCTCACTGATCTGTACGAAGAATCCAATTTGGTAACTCGATTAGAAGTTTTTCAGAACGAACTCGCGGGAATTACGTTTCATAGAAATGAAATCGGATTATGAAAATAATCTTCTAATAAGTTCGCTCGAACGTGAATAAATCTCCCGAAATTCAACTTAATGTGTTTGATAAATTGAGCGGATTAAAAAGAAAACCATCAAAATCTTCGAAAACAATATTATTTTTTTTTTTTCAAACTCTCTAAAGACTTGAAGAAAATTCCCTCGAATTAACAAAATTATCCGTAAATGCATTTCAAGAGTAGCGAAAACTCGTTCAAAACTCCAACAAAATTAACACTTTTCTCTTTCTCTCTCTCTCTCTCTCTCTCTCTCTCTCTCTCTCCCGAGAACAATTCCTATCCCCTTATCCGACATAAGGGGACAAAATAAGGAAATTGTATCCGTGCCGACTGGGAGTGGAAGTCGGCGGAAACGAGACGGGGGTGTAAGAAACGAAACTGTCTCCAACGTCGGTTGAAAAGTGTCGAATGCGAGGCGCAAAATGGATGTAACACGAACGAAGAAGGGAGCATCGTTCACATGTTCCACGAGCAGCGTTTCACGGGTGTCATCGAAGGAAAGTTAGCGCCAATCCCCTTCCAACCCCTTCCAACCCCTCGTTTCTTCCCTCCCTCCCCTCTTATCTACTCGAAAACCCACGATTTCCACTCTCTCGGATGTTCCAGTGATTTATACGTCCGCGCCAGACACGGTGTGTCTACATTCATTGTTCCATCGGTGTAGGTGGTGTTATGCGGTGTGTGTAGCGAGCAACAAGAAGATGGAGAGAAAAAGGAGCACTGGGGAAGTCTCGTTTCACTTTATTTCGAATCGAATGAAACGAAACTCCTGCAGGAGGATTAATTAAAGGATACGATACTTGGTGGGAATCTTTGAGGATTCGAAAAAAGAAAAAGGAAACTCGAGTATTTCGTTATTTCGTTTGGAAATATATTTTCGAGGTAATTTTTAAAACTGGATGAATTTTTTTTTTCTAGCATTCTTTCGTGCTGAGATTAGGAAGGGAAAAGTTTCGTTAACGAAGCGATCTATATTTGGCTCGAAGGAAGGTCAGGTTGTATTCCTCGATCGTTAATCACAAGGGTTTAAATACTTTCCTATTGGACGTTTTCAACGACCATATCGCATAATAATAAGATTATCGCATCACTCGTGCATGCAGGCCAGCCAAGTAACGATCTTTATTTTATCTAACATCGACGCCCACGAACGCTCTCGTTATATTTGTTATTTCTCTATTTTAATATTGTTGTATCTCGTTCGTGTTCTTCGTTGAATATATAGATCGACATCATGTACCGTGATGAAGTTATCGTAAATTGTCAACGAATCAAATTAATTGGACCGCCTCCAGTCACGTGTGTATTGTCACTATTGGTTGAATCGATCATATGTCCGTTGCGCGACGAACAATGCAAATGAGATATAATGAAATAGGGTAAATTGAATATCACGTTATGCGAGGGGTAAAAGTGGTTTCTCGAATTCGGCAAAATTTTGTTATTTTTAAAATTAATCTTTCCCTTCGAGAAAAAAAAAAAACGATGTCACGATGTTTAAAAACAAGCGAGAGAGAAGAAATTAAATTTCGAATTGAATTCGATGAAAAATAATTAATTGAAGGATTAATTGGCGTGATGAACTTTTGCAAGGTGGTTTTTGAAAATTTTTTTCCCCTCCCCCTCGATATTCGATTATAACTTTTGATCGCGCGAATTCATTCGAAATACATCTCTCGTAAAATGGAGAGAAAAATGGATATGGAAGCGAGGTCAGTGTAACTACCTAGAAGCCTCCCACGAATACAGAAAACCTTGATGCATTTTCAACTTGAAGATCTACGCCTACAGCGACACAAGTGGTGCCTGAAGAAGTGAATGTGTTTTCAAAGCCGTGTCTTTGTCTTAAACAAAGAAAGTTTTCCCAGAGGTCGAGAAGTGACGAAAGCAAAAAATGGGTTTCACTCTCTCCCTATTATGAAGAGCTAATTGTTTATGAGGTAATTAATTCTATCGTGAAATTTTAAACGAGAACGAAAGAAAATACATTTACATTTTGATTATTCATTTCACAGATCGCAAACTTGCATGGAGACAAATTTCTATCGAAATTTTTATTGCGAATATAAAAAATATAAAAGAAGGAAGCTATAATTTTTTTATAATCGAAAAAATTATGAATTTCGTTTTATATCAATATCATTTTATAAAAGTTATTTTCATAAAAACCGCCGCGCAAATTCGGGTCTAATCGGAATCGCCGGAACGTGCCGAATATTACCGAATATTGCCGACATATGCCGAATATAACCGAACGAAAGTATTTTCGAAATGATATTTAATCGAAGAAAAGAATGATCATAGATTCGAACAAGCTAATACATTAAATATTATTTTCCTATTAAATTAATCCTTATTACTTAATTTATTTAGATAATAGTCTTTAAATGATTAGAATTGGAAATTTATAAAATTACCATGATAAAAATAAAGAGTTTTAAATATGATTAAACTCGAAAAAAAAAAAAGGAAACTCACCTAAATGATGTCACCGGTACTGGCAGCTCTCGTAGTCTTCGTCAATGGTCCCAATTGTCTGTTTTGATCTGATCGAGGTCTGCAGTAAATAATTTTTCGAAAAGCTTTTCGAAAACTATCGCTGAGGAAGGCGTAAAGAATAGGATTGACACAGCTGTTCGTGTATGCCAAAATGTGGCTGGCTATTTGCACCATTATCGTCGCTGATGTCAATGGATACACGTCCAACGATTTCGTCACTAGTATTACCTTTGAAAGGAAGAAAGGAAAAAAAAAAAAAGAAATCGTTATTAGAATCGAAATTGAGAAAAAAAAAATTTTTTTCAGTAAAAATAAAACGGAGTAAAAAATTTGTTTTGTTTGATCGATAATCAATCATCCCATGCGAAAATAGGAATTAAGGACGAACCAGAAAAGAAAGCGTGCCGTCAATGGCTTATTCCATTAATGGCTATATCACCACTGAGAGTTTTAAAAAGATTGATGTAACAGTCTATCAACTTTTTGAATGAATTTTCAGTTCACTGATTTTATATCCGAATAAAAAACTTACATAAAAATACGCGCGTTAAATATTCGCTATATTTTATGAAAAATTAAAAAAAAAAGAAGAGAGAGAGAAAAATTCGAGATTCATTTTTTTAAAAATATTTTTCTTTTAATAATTTCAAGATTGAAATGGAATTCAATTATCGAAATGCTTGGATTTTAAATTTTAAAGATACTTGTTATCGTAAGGAGAAATCAACCCTTTCATTAAATTACAATTCTAAATTATTCTATAACCAAATACTTACAAATAAAATAAAATTATCAAAAAAATCAAAATAAATAATTATTGCGTCACAATTTCTTGCAAATATTAATATAACCAATTAATATTATATCGATATTACCACAAAAATATGCGAATTTAATTCACAATTGATATTCGTCGTGATTTTAATACATAAAATGGATAAATAATTGAATCAACAAATAAACGTTAAGTAAATTTTCTATGAAACATCTCTATGGAATATTTCTCGCATAAAATGGTCGTATCATGATCGAATAAAATTTTTCGTCCCGCAACAGCACAGTCACAGTTTTCTGTTACGTTTCGATACACAACCGACACATTTTCAAAGAAGAATATTTTGCACCAGAAATTCAATAAACGCATGCGTGTGTGTCCGATATATCTTCAACGAAGCGAGGGACACACGTCCTCTCCCCCAATGTCCATGAAATGGAAGAAAAGCGAGAAAGGTAAAAATTCACAAAACACAAAAGAACCATCGACGTGCTATTCGGTCTTAAAAACTTCGATATACGAATAGCACAGCTTTGCAATTTTTTTTTTTTTTTGCATTGCTTTACTATTTCGAATCTGTAACAATCCATGGTGAAACAGAAATAAGAAGAATAAAGAAAATACATTTGTTTTATTTCTTATTCGAAAGGGTTGCGTGTATGAAATAAGATTAATATTAATTAATAAAATAAATTTGTTCCAACGATTAAACGGTATTACTATTTCATAAATCGAGAAGAATCAAGAAGCAAAAGTTATTCAAATTTCATTCAGAACAAATTGATTAATAAATTATCTAAAAGTAGAGCATACGTGTAACTTTCAACATGGTAGATTTATAATTCCAACAACTTTCTCTCAAAGTTTTAACTCACACGACAAATACTCCGATTATTCCAATATTTTTGTTATAAATTTCGCTACATTATCAAGTGCAAAATATCCTTGTACAACCACGAGAATAATTCACGAACAAATTCTTAACTTAAAAATATAGCGAAATAGAAAAGAAACACTAAGAAAAAAATTTTAACAAATAAATATCTTATAAAATGATATAATTATTATGTAATGATGGCAATATTATTGCCAATTTAGAAAATATACGATTAATAATTTTAAAAAGATATATTTCGGCTTTACCTATCTCGTAATGATAAATAAAATAATAACAGTAATAATAAAAAAATGAATCCATATCATCCATATCATCGATCGATAAACCTCATCTCGATATTCCCAATTATCCACACGAAATTGCCAAATTTCACCGCACAATTTCCTTTCGCGATTTATCTTCCATCTCCATTACCACGAATACCCACGTACCAGTTAATTACATTGCGTTTGTAAACGATCATAAATTTTTTTCCCCATCGAGGGTCTCGCCCCGAAATGCCGTGCCAAAATATACATACCATTCAATTCTACTGGCCACCATTTTTGACTGATATCATTCCGTGCGCAAAATCACGTTCCGACAAATTATAACAAATCACACCCCTTTCTTTTTTTTATCTTCATAAATGTAATCTGATGTGTATAAAGTAGATAATAAAATAACAATTTTTGGAAATATATATATATATAATAAATTGAATCAAAGTAATTTACGTAATTTACATTTTTCTTAATTGAAAATTACAAAGTTTTTAATTTGAAAAATATAAATTAATTTGTTCGAGAGCAAAAGATTTTCTTCTCCTCTTTGCAATTGTTGGATTGATTATTTCGTTTCGTTTGATAAGAAAGTAATTGTATATGGTAAATTATTCTCATCATAATGATATTTTAATCATAACGATAGGTATATTAGAAATTGTTGAATTTGAAAAATATTTTAACAAATTTCGTGATAAGAAAAAATTATTAGAATTTTTCACGATGAATAATCACGATGATTCTTTTATGACTTGTAAACTTACAATTGGAAAAAGTATCACAAAAATTACTGAAAATAGATACATTAAAAATACATGCAAAAAAGAACATGGAATCATTTGTAAATTATCGACATAGACAAAATTTCAACAAAAATTTTATTCGTAAACAATTCAATCGAGAAAAAGATCTTAAAAAAAAAATTTATAGAATCATTTGTTTATTCTAATCAAATACGATATTTTATTCGAACAAATCGAATAAATTTTTCTTTAATACTACCAGAAAGAGAGAGAGAAAATATGAATGGAGAGCGTGGCTGGTCATGGGAAATGAAGTGACACTAACCTGTATAGGGCACCAACAAAAGGCGAAAACGCCAACGACGACGAAGACCAGCCTCGTGACTCGTTTTCTTCCACGACGGCTTTCGGCACTGACGCGATCGGTGCGCCAGAGCCTGATGAGCATGCAAATGTAAAAGAAGCATATCAGCATCAGTGGCAGCAGGTAGCTCATCAGGAAAAACGACATCTGGAATAACGGCCAATTATATTGCGGTAGGATTCGACAAGCCGTCAGGTTCTCCGACGACGAGCCATCCATGTCCTGAAACTAAAGTGAATCTACATATATAAGAGAATAGTTCTTGGCCGCAATATCGTATTGAGAGAGAAAAATATATACGAAATACACGCGAGGAAACACGAATTGTTTCAAGATGTATAAAAATTTTTATTTTTTTATAATAGTTTTCGCGAGAAAGATATTACGAAATTTGTCATCTCGTTGAATTTTCCATTCTGGAAACTGAAAACTCAATAGCCACTTCATCTATCAAGATCGAGAGATTGATATTTTGTTACAAATACAGAAATATTAGGTAAAAAAGATATGTAGACAGTGTTTAATACTCAAAGGGTTAACGTAACACGTATATATCAACTCCTTTTCCAGATCAATGAATAATTAATTATGTATAAGCACAATAAAATTTGAACGAGCAATTACTGAAAATTAATCAAATTATTATTGAATAATAACATGGAAATTTAAACATCGTGAATTAAAGATGAAACTTGAATATCGAAAATAACAGAAAGAAAAACCATGAATTCGTTTCATCGACGTTTATTATTATAATTAACCATTAAACCGACTGTTTCCTGTTTCTAAACACATAATCACACAATTACACACGATAATTACAATGATTAATCGCAATCAAAGATAAAGTACACTTTTGACACAATGACAGCTCGAATTTCACCACCACGATTCCATTATGCAAAAGCAAAATACCGCAATTACTATACACAACGACGCACAATTGCGCCACAATTTAACACGCAACAACAAATTTCTTCCTTGCCTCGAGCCTTCCCTCCTTCGATCCGATTCAAATTATTCCATTCGACAACATTTTCGGATATTATGATTCGCAAATGGCATCTGTTATATACCTAAAATCGGGGTGTATAATCATCGAACGATCACAGAGGAATGGTTATTTCTCCCATTTCCGTTGGTGGAGTCGCGGAAAATCGTATAATGCATGACAATGAGCTCTCTCTCTACGTGTGTCTGGAATGATTCAACGAAATTTGCGCAAAACGTATCTGAGGATAATTCTCGTGTCCACGTATGTGTGTAGGTGTGTGTGTGTGTGCACGTCGATATCGTGTGAATCTGACGATATGGGATTATCGTGCGTGGTCGTGATTTAAAAATATATTTCCGGCAATTACATTTTGATAAGAGATTATCAAGTGTGTTCGAGTAACGGATAAATATGGAATATGAATTGAATTATTGCTATTGAAATGTCTGGTGATTAATTAATTAAAATAAATATGTACTGTAATGATAGAAGTAATTAAGCGTATTTATTTTTTTGAGAAAATAATAAAATTTGTTTGTGAATGTAATCGAAGAAATCAGCTTCTAAAGGGATGTTCAGAGTTTTTTTTTTTTTTTTGTCATGCACGTTCCACAGATTTTTCTCAAATGTCTAGTAATTATAATTAATACCAGGTTAAATCAAGTTGATTATGTACTAGCTATGGATTTTTATGCAAGTGCTTTTGACAAAATTGGCCCTTTGCGCTCCAAACAATTTGGATAATTAGTAATTAACTTCAAGATATTTTTTCCCATACACACATATAAATAATAAATTATATCGGCTCAATATTAATTTATATTCAAAAATAAAAATACAATTGTACAGATGCAATTACTTTCATAACAACAATACTCGTCTCTGTACAATCATTGACAATTCTAACACAAAATTTTAAAAAGCATCATATCACGAAGATTTCCATATCAATATAATACATTATTAAAACTTATAAATTATAATTGAGCCTCAATCAGAAACATTCAAACGTCACGATAAATTGAACCACTTCGTGTAAGTACTTTTCTGTACACTCCACCTTGTACGCGTAATGTCACGTTTATTCACCTTTCTTTTTTTTTTTTCAAGGAAACCGCCAATCGCCACGCTGCCGATTACGCTCATTTCACCCGAAACTAATTAAGAGTGAGAACACTTCGAAAGGGAGATTACCGGATAGATGAGGCGAATTTTCCTTCCCATTCCCACTTCAATTTTCCACCACCATTACCGGTACATTATTTGAAAAGGGTTAATCAACCCCCTTTTGTCAACTTCAATCCCCCTCCCCCTCGCCTCCTATCTTCTTTTCAATCTTTTTTTTTTCTCGCGCCTCGAATCGAATTGATCCTCTCCCCTTCCCGTTAAATACACGAACGTCCCCTATTATCCTTCTTTCTCCTCCCCCCCCCCCCCCCTCCTATCTTCTTTTCTATCCTTTTTTTTTCTCGCCCCTCGCATCGAATTGACCCTCTCCCCTTCCCGTTAAATACCCGAACGTCCCCTATTATCCTTCTTCCTCCTCCCCCCCCCCCCCCCTCTTCCTTCCTTCGAATACTAGTGAACAACGAATCGCAAGTGAATTGTAAATAATCTGGATCGCAATGCGTGTATCCGGTGTTGATCATTTTTATCGAGATATTGGCCCATTGAATGGGGGCGACAATGCGAGTGACAACGAGAAATCGAGTTGAAAAAATCAAAAGGAAAACTAGATTTTTGCCGATCCACGGGAATCAGAATTTTTGTTATGTTTTTTAAAATATTTCATTTCCAATCTTAATTTCGGGGAAAAACTTGAGGAATTTTTGGAGAAGCTTTGTTATTATTATTAGGAAACTTGGAATCTTATTGTTCTTATTCTCGGTCTGTTTATTAATAGGCTGATAATTTATTATAAAATGTATGTAACATCTTTCATTTCAGGCTATTTTGAATCGAAGAAGTGTGTAAATATGCAAATTAAAATTGCAAAGGAGCTCGAGGAAGGGAGAGTGGGCACGATATAAAAATTAAATGAAAAAAATTGGAAATGAAAATACATTGGAGAGGAAGAAAATCAATTTTGAAAGGTGTTTTAATCAATTATAGAGTTTGGACTTACCTCGCCGTGGACGAAGAATGCAGGGGTTGATATCGCGAATATCATCGCCCAAGCGATGCAAATGGCGACGATCGCGTGGTTCTCGGTCCTCCACGACATCGAGGAAATAGGATGAACCACGGCCAAGTATCTGTAACAATTTGTAATCTTATTCAAAAACTGAAAAATTTTTTTATCCTCACTGATTAAAAAACTTCTATATATATTTCTATATAAATATCCGTTCGAGTAGTATCGAGAAGAATAAAAATTATTGGAAAATTCCACGCGATGATACTGCGAAGCGAATTATTTCGAAAAAGTTTCGAAAAATGCTGAAGCAATACCGATGGAATCGGAAATCCGATCACGTATAAATCCGCATAACTCAAAAAAAGGGTAACGTAAACTTGGAGGAAATAGAAAATGAAATCGCGTATTTCGTGAGAAAATCAAGATCCTTTCGCACGTGTGACATTTCGAGAAACGAGCATTGTTAGTGCATCGTTGCATACGATATCTCGAGACATAACTGATATTTATAGTTGAATGAATTATATCTAAGAAATATCGGCAATCGTGTTTTATCGTGCAATATTATTATCGATTTCTTTTTTTTTTTTTTTT